AACTGAGTTCTTTTACCATCATTACCGAGACATGAACTGCCTTCCTACTTAGGGCGTCCGCCACTACGTTAGCCTTTCCCGGATGATAAAGCAGCTCAAAGTCATAGTCTTTCAAGAACTCTAGCCAACGCCTCTGCCTCATGTTCAACTCCTTCTGATCAAATAAATATTTGAGGCTCTTGTGATCACTGAAGACTTGGAATGTAGATCCGTACAAATAATGCCTCCAAATCTTCAGTGCGAAAACGACCGCTGCCAACTCCAGGTCGTGTGTTGGGTAATTTCTCTCATGAATATTCAATTGACGAGACGCGTACGCTACCGCTCGCTTCTCTTGCATCAGCACACAACCTAAACCTTGGTGAGAAGCGTCGCAGTACACCTCGAACAGTTTGGCCGTGTCTGGAATAATTAGCACTGGAGCGCTCGTCAACTTCACTTTCAACTCCTGGAAGCTTGTTTCACACCGATCGGTCCATGCGAACGGCTGATCTTTCCGGGTCAACTGAGTTAGCGGAGCCACTATCTTAGCAAATCCTTCAATAAAACGTCTGTAGTAGCCCGCAAGCCCCACAAAGCTACGAACCTCAGTGACCGAACGGGGACTCTCCCACTCCAATACTGCTCGTACCTTAGCTGGATCTACCGAGATACCTTCAGCCGACACCAAGTGCCCCAAAAACTGAACTTCCTTCATCCAGAACTCACATTTTGACAATTTGGCGTACAACTCCTTCTCCCTCAATACGCCAAGTACAATCCTCAAGTGTTCTTCATGTTCGTCCTGGGTCTTGGAATAGATGAGAATATCATCTATGAAGACGACCACAAACTTGTCCAAGTACGGCCTGAAGATGCGATTCATATATTCCATGAACACTGCTGGAGCGTTCGTTACGCCGAATGGCATCACCACGTACTCATAATGCCCATAACGAGATCTGAACGCTGTCTTCTGGATGTCTTCCTCCTTAACTCTGATTTGATGATATCCAGATCTCAAATCAATCTTCGAGAATACTGCGGCCCCGTGCAGTTGATCCAACAAATCATCTATCCTTGGCAACGGGTACTTATTCTTGATGGTCAGTTTGTTTAATTGCCTGTAATCTATACACAACCGTGAGCTGCCATCTTTCTTCTTCACCAATAGTACAAGCACTCCCCATGGTGATACGCTCGGCCTAATGAACTGTTTTTCCATCAACTCTTCAATCTGCTCCTTGAGTTCAGCTAACTCCGCAGGCGACATCCGATAAGGCTGAACGAAGATGGGGGCTGCCGTCGTCACCAAATCAATGGTGAATTCAACTTCACGAACAGGAGGCAGTCCCGGTATTTCTTCCGGAAAGACGTCCGGGAACTCATCCACAACCGATCGTCCATTACTATCACTAGTGGACGATCGTCCTTTTACCAATCCTCCGAATTTCTGATCTTCATGCGTCATAATCAGGAAACAGCTGGCGCCCTCCATAATGTCTTCTTTCAGTTGGCCGAGCGTCACTGACAATTCTTCTTCTTCTTCATCCGGAAAGATTAACTCCTTCTTACCACAGTCTATGAGAATGCGATTGGTAGCCAACCAATCCATTCCTAGAATCACTTGTAATTCCTTCAAAGGTAAACAGATCGAGTTCACCTTATAACTACGCCCCTCAACCACAATAGGACATCTAATGCATACGGTAGATGTCCTAAGCTCTCCAGCCGCTGGGGTTGATACCACCAAGTCGAACTGCATCTCTCTCTCAGCTATTCCCAGTTTTTCAACGCACGCCTTCGAGATGAAGGAGTGAGTCGCCCCCGAATCATACAGTACACGACATGGCATTCCATACAGCAAGCATTCACCAGTTATAAGATTACCTGAGCTTGCTGCCTCAGCGCTCGTTATAGCGTACACACGTCCCACTGCTTGTGCTCTGCCACCCCTCGGTTGGTTCCTTCCAGCGTTTGGTGGCCTCATCACTGCACGTCCACCCATGTTGCACTCGTTATCCAAGTGCCCATTCCGTCCACAACGGTTGCAGTGTTTTCCTCCCACCAGCTGAGGACATGAAGAACAATAGTGTGGCCCTCCACACTGGAAACAAGTAACGTTTTCGTGCTGACCAGACTGTCCGGCAGGAATCAAGGCTTGAGACCCACTCGCGCTAGATGGCTGGTTTGGACGAGCGTAAGGGGCTCTCCTCTGACTACTACCTCCCCTGGACACGATCGGTCCCCTAATCACTTGTTGCTGTTTCTTCTGTCGTTCCGCTTCTGCCATATTCTTCTCCAATACCTTGGCTCTCTCAACCATAGCAGGAAACGACCGCATGCACAAACTGGAAATCAAGACCTTCAGATCACTCCGCAGTCCGTTCTCAAACTTCCTGCACTGCCACTCTTCACTGGTGGCCATCGTATTGAAACGGACAAGGTGCTTGAACTTGTTGGTGTATTCAGAAACTGACATCCCACCTTGAACCAGTTGTAGAAACTCCACCTCCTTCGCAAAACGGACGCTGTCAGGGAAGTACTCTTCATAAAACTTGCTACGGAATACTTCCCATGTAATATGACGTTGGGCGTCTGCCAGAATAGCCCTCGTGCTCGCCCACCAGTGGCTCGCTTCCCTAGTCAATAGATATTCTGTGAACGCCAACCTGTTCTCATCTGGGCATCTCTTGGCGTTGAAGATCCTCTCCATGTCCCTTAACCATTGATCTGCCTCGTCAGGGAGGCCCTTTCCACTGAATTTAGCCGGATGGTGTTGGAGGAAACTTTCCAAGCTCCACTCAGCAGCAGGTTGGGTAGTGTTTGAAGAGGACGCCCCCGGAGTGTGCCTGGTTGCCGCTAAAATCTCCATTAACTGTCTTTGAGTAGCTTCAGAGTTGGCGCGAGAGGCCTCCAAACTCTGCAAAGCATTCTGATTTTGCTGCATCAGGGTAGCGTTCTGTTCCATCAACGTGGTATTCTGCTGCTGCAATCTATCAATCACCGTTTCCAACAACCTAGTGTTGTTGGACGCATCAGGTTCATTAGGCTGCGGTGGAGGAGGGAGTCTAGGTGCCATTTGTTCTCTGGAAACAGAGAAAAACGAGCGTTAGTCATGTTTAAAGAGTTGAAAAATAACTCATTAAACACATATTAAGCACACAGCAAAAACACAGTGTACTCATAACCTACAGTGTCCTTTAATAGAACAAAACTGCTCTGATATCACTAATGTAACATCCCAAAATATAGTAATAACCATAAATTAGAATTAATTACATTTAACAGTAAAACCATGCAGTCTTTACACTAAGATTCCAAGTTCAAAAGCCGAACGGCTTAAAGTACAGAACTACAAAATTCAAAACACAACTACCCTGAAAAATTTAGAACGAACGATTTTACAAAACATTAACCGAACGTTCAATTATCTAAACTGAAAGACTAATAACTAAAACTTAACGAGCGCTCTAAGGCTCAACTTTAACTTCCACTTCCACCAGATTCGCGTCGTCCAAATTTTCTTCTTCCAGCATTTCTTCAAGTGACGCACCTCCATCTGCTCACATCCACACGGATGATCATTGCAAAGACAAGACGAACGTACAGAGACAACAGACAACACAAGGAAAACGAAGGGTAAGCTTATGTAATTTAATTTATACATCAACATATAAAATAAACATTTCAATCCACACAAGCACATAGTTCAACATATAACATCATACGAAATATATATATATAGACCGACCGTCCGGACTGTATGAATCTGTGTAGCTACAGGCGTCCTTGCACCCGAGTGATGAAGTAACTGGGATACACTCAACAGCTGCCACTCGAGGTTAGTCCGTTCTTACGTCGCCCATGTTAACTTATGGACTAAGGACCTCCTGCCGTTCCCACACATGACCTACCACCTCTACATGAGGATGAGTACTCACGGAACATCAGGATGGACAGCCAACATTAGCATAGCCACAGTCATACTTTACCAAATCCAATATTCAATATATATATGAGTCGTTCCTCCCTGGAACGCTCGTCCACAATCCATAATCGTATAATCACCCAATATAGTGTTCACCCTTCAAGTTCTTATAATTTATCATCATTTTCATCTTTAGTTTTAAGAACATAAAATAACGAACGTTCAGCCCTTTGAAGAACTAGGACGAACGTCAAGAGAATATACTGAATGAACTAAGGAGTCTATAACGAACGTTACTATCTATGCGGTCAGTTAAATGAACTAACCCGTTTGGATGTACACTGATACTTAAAGAAAATTTCATCATGAAGACCTTAGATCAGATTCAATGTAAGAAGGAGAGCCGAGAATGTTTAGAACTATTTTGGTAGTAATTCGCATACAGACGACTGATGCCAGTAAATGAACGAACGCGAGGAAAAGAAGAATATTATTATAATTGAACGAACGCTATTTTATCAAAGTGGGATATTCAATAATACGAGCGCTTGGTATAAGACCGAGCACCGCTTATGACGAACGCTAGGTAGATGACCGAGCACCAATTATGACGAACGCTTAGTACAAGACCGAGCGCTATTTAGGACGAACGCTTGGTATAAGACCGAGCGCTACTTATTTTAAAGTATAAGGGTGTAATTTGATATTATCTAAATTAAGGTATACAGTATCACTATGCTGAGCCGAACGCTCAAACATAGTATTTCAAATGAGGACGCTCGTTCTCGAGCAGAATTCTTTCCGAATGAAAGAATTCCTTTTTAAGCAATTTACTAGAAACCGAACGGTATAAGACCGTACGATGACGAACGTATTTTATCATAGGGAGTAATTTACATTCAGATTTTTCATCTATCTTAACTCAATATTTCTCATACAATTCATACTTTATAATTTCATATCCATCATTAATTCATATACTTTATAGAATTCATCATATTTACAACTCATACTCTACAATAATCATCCATCTTTTAATCCATACGTATCACCATCAACATGCAGTTCAACCAACAAAAATCATATTCATTCANCTAGTGGACGATCGTCCTTTTACCAATCCTCCGAATTTCTGATCTTCATGCGTCATAATCAGGAAACAGCTGGCGCCCTCCATAATGTCTTCTTTCAGTTGGCCGAGCGTCACTGACAATTCTTCTTCTTCTTCATCCGGAAAGATTAACTCCTTCTTACCACAGTCTATGAGAATGCGATTGGTAGCCAACCAATCCATTCCTAGAATCACTTGTAATTCCTTCAAAGGTAAACAGATCGAGTTCACCTTATAACTACGCCCCTCAACCACAATAGGACATCTAATGCATACGGTAGATGTCCTAAGCTCTCCAGCCGCTGGGGTTGATACCACCAAGTCGAACTGCATCTCACTCTCAGCTATTCCCAGTTTTTCAACACACGCCTTCGAGATGAAGGAGTGAGTCGCCCCCGAATCATACAGTACACGACATGGCATTCCATACAGCAAGCATTCACCAGTTATAAGATTACCTGAGCTTGCTGCCTCAGCGCTCGTTATAGCGTACACACGTCCCACTGCTTGTGCTCTGCCACCCCTCGGTTGGTTCCTTCCAGCGTTTGGTGGCCTCATCACTGCACGTCCACCCATGTTGCACTCGTTATCCAAGTGCCCATTCCGTCCACAACGGTTGCAGTGTTTTCCTCCCACCAGCTGAGGACATGAAGAACAATAGTGTGGCCCTCCACACTGGAAACAAGTAACGTTTTCGTGCTGACCAGACTGTCCGGCAGGAATCAAGGCTTGAGACCCACTCGCGCTAGATGGCTGGTTTGGACGAGCGTAAGGGGCTCTCCTCTGACTACTACCTCCCCTGGACACGATCGGTCCCCTAATCACTTGTTGCTGTTTCTTCTGTCGTTCCGCTTCTGCCATATTCTTCTCCAATACCTTGGCTCTCTCAACCATAGCAGGAAACGACCGAATGCACAAACTGGAAATCAAGACCTTCAGATCACTCCGCAGTCCGTTCTCAAACTTCCTGCACTGCCACTCTTCACTGGTGGCCATCGTATTGAAACGGACAAGGTGCTTGAACTTGTTGGTGTATTCAGAAACTGACATCCCACCTTGAACCAGTTGTAGAAACTCCACCTCCTTCGCAAAACGGACGCTGTCAGGGAAGTACTCTTCATAAAACTTGCTACGGAATACTTCCCATGTAATATGACGTTGGGCGTCTGCCAGAATAGCCCTCGTGCTCGCCCACCAGTGGCTCGCTTCCCTAGTCAATAGATATTCTGTGAACGCCAACCTGTTCTCATCTGGGCATCTCTTGGCGTTGAAGATCCTCTCCATGTCCCTTAACCATTGATCTGCCTCGTCAGGGAGGCCCTTTCCACTGAATTTAGCCGGATGGTGTTGGAGGAAACTTTCCAAGCTCCACTCAGCAGCAGGTTGGGTAGTGTTTGAAGAGGACGCCCCCGGAGTGTGCCTGGTTGCCGCTAAAATCTCCATTAACTGTCTTTGAGTAGCTTCAGAGTTGGCGCGAGAGGCCTCCAAACTCTGCAAAGCATTCTGATTTTGCTGCATCAGGGTAGCGTTCTGTTCCATCAACGTGGTATTCTGCTGCTGCAATCTATCAATCACCGTTTCCAACAACCTAGTGTTGTTGGACGCATCAGGTTCATTAGGCTGCGGTGGAGGAGGGAGTCTAGGTGCCATTTGTTCTCTGGAAACAGAGAAAAACGAGCGTTAGTCATGTTTAAAGAGTTGAAAAATAACTCATTAAACACATATTAAGCACACAGCAAAAACACAGTGTACTCATAACCTACAGTGTCCTTTAATAGAACAAAACTGCTCTGATATCACTAATGTAACATCCCAAAATATAGTAATAACCATAAATTAGAATTAATTACATTTAACAGTAAAACCATGCAGTCTTTACACTAAGATTCCAAGTTCAAAAGCCGAACGGCTTAAAGTACAGAACTACAAAATTCAAAACACAACTACCCTGAAAAATTTAGAACGAACGATTTTACAAAACATTAACCGAACGTTCAATTATCTAAAATGAAAGACTAATAACTAAAACTTAACGAGCGCTCTAAGGCTCAACTTTAACTTCCACTTCCACCAGATTCGCGTCGTCCAAATTTTCTTCTTCCAGCATTTCTTCAAGTGACGCACCTCCATCTGCTCACATCCACACGGATGATCATTGCAAAGACAAGACGAACGTACAGAGACAACAGACAACACAAGGAAAACGAAGGGTAAGCTTATGTAATTTAATTTATACATCAACATATAAAATAAACATTTCAATCCACACAAGCACATAGTTCAACATATAACATCATACGAAATATATATATATAGACCGACCGTCCGGACTGTATGAATCTGTGTAGCTACAGGCGTCCTTGCACCCGAGTGATGAAGTAACTGGGATACACTCAACAGCTGCCACTCGAGGTTAGTCCGTTCTTACGTCGCCCATGTTAACTTATGGACTAAGGACCTCCTGCCGTTCCCACACATGACCTACCACCTCTACATGAGGATGAGTACTCACGGAACATCAGGATGGACAGCCAGCATTAGCATAGCCACAGTCATACTTTACCAAATCCAATATTCAATATATATATGAGTCGTTCCTCCCTGGAACGCTCGTCCACAATCCATAATCGTATAATCACCCAATATAGTGTTCACCCTTCAAGTTCTTATAATTTATCATCATTTTCATCTTTAGTTTTAAGAACATAAAATAACGAACGTTCAGCCCTTTGAAGAACTAGGACGAACGTCAAGAGAATATACTGAATGAACTAAGGAGTCTATAACGAACGTTACTATCTATGCGGTCAGTTAAATGAACTAACCCGTTTGGATGTACACTGATACTTAAAGAAAATTTCATCATGAAGACCTTAGATCAGATTCAATGTAAGAAGGAGAGCCGAGAATGTTTAGAACTATTTTGGTAGTAATTCGCATACAGACGACTGATGCCAGTAAATGAACGAACGCGAGGAAAAGAAGAATATTATTATAATTGAACGAACGCTATTTTATCAAAGTGGGATATTCAATAATACGAGCGCTTGGTATAAGACCGAGCACCGCTTATGACGAACGCTAGGTAGATGACCGAGCACCAATTATGACGAACGCTTAGTACAAGACCGAGCGCTATTTAGGACGAACGCTTGGTATAAGACCGAGCGCTACTTATTTTAAAGTATAAGGGTGTAATTTGATATTATCTAAATTAAGGTATACAGTATCACTATGCTGAGCCGAACGCTCAAACATAGTATTTCAAATGAGGACGCTCGTTCTCGAGCAGAATTCTTTCCGAATGAAAGAATTCCATTTTTAAGTCATTTACTAGGAAACCGAACGGTATAAGACCGTACGATGACGAACGTATTTTATCATATGGAGTAATTTACATTCAAATTTTTCATCTATCTTAACTCAATATTTCTCATACAATTCATACTTTATAATTTCATATCCATCATTAATTCATATACTTTATAGAATTCATCATATTTACAACTCATACTCTACAATAATCATCCATCTTTTAATCCATACGTATCACCATCAACATGCAGTTCAACCAACAAAAATCATATTCATTCAGTACAACAGTGCTCGTTCATGCATACTAAAAGTGGCGCTCATGCATGGAGTGCAGAGTGGGTTTTTAATGCTACTGAGCGTGTGGCGGGGTGCATTTATGAAAGCAACCAGGTGACTCAGCAGTGCATTTAATTTGGATTAGACAGATGGCTTACGATTTAATTTTCCAAGGTCTCACACATGGCAACATACGTGAACTCAATCATGTTATAGCTTTCATCGGCACCACTCGAATGAAACAAAATGCAAAGGGAAAAGAAGATGTGCACAATTGTAGAAAAAACACAAGTTTTTTGTTGAGAGATATGGTGATGGATTCATATGAATGGATAGGGTTGTCACTGAGAGATTTACATAGTGGTTGTCAAGGAGAAGATGAGAGTATATGGGCATGAACTTGTTTTAAGTGAATAAAAAATGCAAAATTCTTTTAATTTTTAAAATAATAATAAATGGTGTTTTTTAATTAAACTCTATTTATTGATATTACAATAAAGAGCGCTTAAATATAAAAATACTCTCTATTAATTTATCTAAAAATTATTATTTTCTTAAAAACTATAAATCAAATATAGATAATGCTTTTCTAAGGAAGTGTTGTGTATGTGTACTCATTTTTAAAGCGTTTATTTCATAAAACACTGTCTTTTTGTTCCATGTTTTGATTTATAGTGCTTAATTAATAAGCGTTCTCTAAAGGCATTGTCTATTCATAATTTTCTAGTAGTGAATCCTTTTTTTTTCAACATACCAATAATTCATTTTGTGACATAAGTGATAAATGATGATGGATAAATAATTTCCATAGGTTTTCTAGACCTATTTGATAATACTCTTTAAGGTGATATATAATATCCCAGTACCTTGTAATTATTTGTCTTTTTTTGTCATAAATCAAACACCCTTAAGGTAATATTTTTCCTAATTACATTAAAGTTATATTCATAACTATGTTAAAAGTCATGACATATAACAAATCCAAATGAACTATCCTTCAAATATTATGAGTTAATCTTTTTTAATAAGAGTATCCTTCATTATTCTCAAATCAAAATGTTATTTTTTCTAATCCAACTAAAAGATATATAAATTTCATGTTGAAATTACAAGCTACAAAATGTTTTGTGACTTTTCTTCCATGAAAACAAAGATCATTTATCCTAAGGATCTTAACTCGTACATAAGTTCCATGCATGTCCCTTTAATTGTAAAAAAAATAATAGTTACTTGTTGTAATGATCCTTCAAATAATGTATGTATGTCAATTAACACTAGAATTTTTTTATCATTTACCTTAAAGTATGAGTAAAATTTTGATGTTTTAAGGATATGTGATTTCACTTCTCGGTTTGATAGCTGAATTAAAAATTCTCCCTCCCACATAATTATCATTCAATACATTATGAAAGTTTTGATTAATTGTTTCTTCTTATTGGTGCAAAAAAGATAACACAATTTTATTTTTTATGTTACGTTCTATTATATGCAAAAATGTAGTCACTTATTGCTCAATGTTGACCTAAATGCATCATTCATCATGTTAGTTGTCCTTAATTGCTCACACAAGTTAACGAATGCCCTTAATCCAATGCAAATATTATTATGACATTATTCAATGTGATTAAGGTATAAGATCAATTCAACCTTACAACTCCTTTTCATGAACAAATTCCCTAACATTGGTTGTCATACTACTCAACATAAATAGCATTTAGAATCCATCAACTATAAAGAAAAGCATTGTGAGGGTTGCATTCCTATAATGTAAAAGTTCCTTATACAAACAAATATTTAAATTTAATTTAACATTTATGTTAAATAATATTTCTATAACCTAAATATAAAAATTATGCATGTTTATAAACTCATAATTACGAATACTAAAAGTTAATTTACATTATGACATACCAACTACCTTTAAATAGCATACAAAAAAAAATAATCATTCCTAATTTCAAATTTTATAAAAATATATATTAATTTAACCCTAAATTAAAAAAATGATTAATCTTTCAACAATAATAATAAAAATACAAATGATTAAATTATTTGTTTTTCTTATTTTGTAATGGTAACCATTTGAAAATAATCCACATCCTAAACATATAGTTTACAAAATTATATAATTTTAGCATGCAACCATGTATAATACTCATATGTAAACAAGATATAAGAGTTTATTGGATTTGTTAAACAAAGTTTTGCTTATAATCTTTTCACTAAACAAAATTTGAGCCTAATCAACCAACAATCAAATGATCACAATAAGAAAGATAATGTCAAATAGAAGAAACATTTGTTAAACCAACACCACAAAAAATTAGTTTTCATAAATTTGATATTCATTTAAAATACATAACATTTTTGTAATAAGAGTACGAGTTATTATGACGTAGTTTTCTTAGAAAAGATAGCATAACTAATTATTATGATCAATATAATCATTGATGGAGAAAGAGGATTTTATGTCAACTTATTATGACAAGTGAAATGCTCTTGTCATAGTAAATTTGTCACTCGTATTCTTTTTAAAATAAAAGTAAGAGTTATTATGACGTAATTTTGAAGACCTGTCATAATATATCAATAATAACAAAAATTAAATTAATTTTAAAATGTAAGATATGTCATAATAATTTTTTTTATGGTGGTTAACTTAGCACTTCTTATAATAAATTGGACAGAGGGACAAACTCAAAATATGTTGAAAATATATTATGATTAATGGTAAAACACCTGTAATAGAATCTCTTAATTTCTTATTCCCTTCCTTTCATTTACGCGTTTTCTATAAAGCTATTTCTTACTCTCCTCAACTTTTACTATTAATCCATTGTGGAATTAAAAAAAAAAACAATTTATAATTAATTATTATGGGAATTCTTTTTAACTACGCAGAACCATGAAACATATTATTAAGTCATAATCAATTAGCATTAATGAAAAACTAAATATGTATAGTTAACGAAACACAATAAAATCACAATCATACATCCATAATTAATTAGGGTCGTTTGCATATTCAATTATATTCAACAACGAAAAGACCACCTAAT